ACCCGGGCAGGCGTGACAGTGGCAGGCGGGAACTGCTGGTCGGGGTGGTCCTATTTGGGGGCTGTTTCTTTCTTTTTTTTGAGATGGAGTCTGCTCTGTCGCCCAGGCTGGAGTGCAGTGGTGCGATCTCGGCTCACTGCAAACTCCGCCTCCCGGGTTTACGCCATTCTCCTGCCTCAGCCTCCCGAGTAGCTGGGACTACAGGCACCTGCCACCTCTCCTGGCTAGTTTTTTGTATTTTTTAGTACAGACGGAGTTTCACCGTGTTATCCAGGATGGTCTCGATCTCCTGACCTCGTGCCTCGGCCTCCCAAAGTGCTAGGATTACAGGCTTGAGCCACCGCGCCCGACTGGGGCTGTTTCTTTTATAATCTGTCAAGGCCAGAAGCAGCCGTCCAGGGTCCCAGAATCGCAGTGGGCGAGGGCAGCACGGGCGATCCATCCTGGGACAGCTGTGCGAAGCCCAGACCCACAGAGTGCTGCAGTGGTCAGTCAACAGCAGGCGAAAGAGCCACCTCCCCAAGAACAGTTCCCTCGTTCCCCACCTTCCAAGTCTCTGGGGGAGAACCAGTCTGGGTGCCTCAGTGCCTAAAGGGGCCCCGGGAGGCGGTCCCCCGGGCTGTGGCTCAGTGCGCAGCCCTGGCCTGGCGGGCTCCCCATCAGACCGTGGCTGTGGCCAGCCAGGCCTGGAAGCTGCCAGGGCCGGTGCCTGCTGCCACCTTCCACGTGGCCCTGGCCAAAGTGCAAGTGCTGGCTTCCCGCTCCTCGGGGGCGGACACAAGTACTTGGTACAAGGCCGGAGCTGCGGGCCAAGTCCCTCTCTCTACCTCTCCGGTACACACCGGAGAATATGCTGTAAAAGTCCGCACCCCACCCTCACTGTTTCCAAATTGGGGACAACACAAAGCAGAACAAAACGAAAAGAAATGGCCCCATCCAAGTGGCCTTTCTCTGAGTGTTACTGGGGACCATCCTTCTAGCCTCCAAGTCCACGTGGGCTCCAGTGGGATGCACTCCAGCTGGGGCAGGGTGGCCGTGCAGCCCTCTGGAGCCCCTGGGCAGCCTGGAGTGGCCAAAGTCGCCCCCGGAGGCACAACCCAGAGGAGCCCCGAGCCCCCATGACTCCAGCCCAGGGACCCTTCCCAGCCTCTGCAGAGGGATGGGGTACCTGGCCAGAATAGAGGACCCTGGGCGGTTTCTTCAACCTGTGAGGTCAGGCGTTCTTTTTACTCAAAAAAAAAAAAAGTTTAGGCACTTCCCAGGGTGGGCGACTGAGGGAGTCCCCCAGCCCCTCTTTGGGAGTCCAGTGGGCAAAACACAGCATTGAGTTGTCAAGAGGCCAGGCGCACTGGGCGTCAATAACTTTAAAAAGGGGAAAAAATGTCAGTCCCCGAGTCTCCAGGCCTTTCGTGCTGAAGAAGAAAAGAAGCGGGGAAGAGAAAGAAAAAGCACGTGGGGTTGGAAGGACAGTCGCCGGAGGCTGCTGGAGTGGGGACCCCCATGCTGGCTGGCAAGGGGCTCCGTGAGGCCCAGAGTTGCTGGGGACACGGGGCCCTCGTGTGTTTTATGTTTCGTTGGGTTTTTTTGTGTGTGTTTTTTTTGTTTTTTTGTTTTTTTAAGAAAAAAGCGAGTCATAAGCCAAGGCCGGAAAAAGGCTGCCTTTGCCCGTTGACAAAAGGTGAGAAGGCGCGCGAAGTGTTCGGAGAGATATACATCCCCTGACAACTGTGAAATAAAAACCATTTGTTAAAAATATTTAAAACAAACAAACAAACAAAAACAAAACAACTCGGCAGGCAGAGGCCCCGGCCCGGGCTCAGCAGCGCCACCCGGCGGCAGCCGCGGGCTCGGTGTGAAGGAAAGTTTGTCCGGGCCCTTGTCTCCGTCCCGTCTCCCTGGGCCTGGGCGCTTTCAGACCGGGTTGTGCTCCTTGAGGTTGAGCTGCAGGATGGTGCCCTTCACGGCCGCGAGCACGAAGCGGATGTTCTTCGTGTAGATGATTTTGTCGCCGTCGGGGTTCGTGTCCACGAACATCTTCAGGATGAACTCCCGCGCCGCTGGGCGTCCCGCTGGGGCCCGTCGAGCTCGGGGATGGAGCCCACCAGGTGCGAGTACAGGATACTGTCCTCCAGCAGGTCCTTCTTGTTGAGGAAGAGGATGACGGAGTTCTGGAACCAGGGATAGTTGACGATGGTCCGGAACAGGGCTTTGCTCTCCTCCACCCGGTTCTCCTTGTCCGACTCCGCCAGGACTTGGTCGTATTCACTGAGGGCGACGACAAACAGGATGGACGTCAGGTTCCCAAAGCAGTGGATCCGCTTCCTGGAGCCGACCGCTGTCCCCCCACATCCACCATCCTGAAGATGATGCTCTCCAGGTCGAAAGATGCCGGTGGTGGGCATGCGGCCCCGCAGCGCGTCCTGCGGGGTGGGCAGGTGGCCCGAGGCGGCCCTGCGGGCAGCGTCCGTCAGGCAGTACTTGGCCGGGTCCGAGAGCTGGCACTGGCGCCTGCGGTCGCAGCACTCCTGGATGCCGGGGTCCGTCCCACAGGTTCCTGATGGCGCTGACGTACCAATGCTCGAAGGTGGTCACCTTCTCTGCGTCCACCTCTCGGATCAGGAGCCACTGGCCTTGTTCTGCTCCTCCTTGTGGAGGATCTTCGGCGTCTCCACGGCCCGGATCGCCTGGATGGCGGTGAAGATGTGGTAGTAGACGAGCTTGGTGAAGCCGCGCTTGGCCTCCTCCCAGTCGGAGGCGCCCTGGACGATGCGCGTCTGTTTGACGAAGATGCTCTTCCCGCTCTCGCCCCTGCGGAGCAACAGCAGCTTGAGCTGGCGACGGGCGTCGCGCTCGTCCCCCGCAGCTGCTTCTGGATCTCGGCGTTGATCCGCTCCTTCACCTCATCGCTCAGGCAACGCGCCATCACGGACTCCAGAGTCATCGTCCCGGCCCGGCCGCCGCCCACCGGCCCCCACCCGCCCTGCCCCGCCTCGGCCGCTGCCTGCGAGCCGCCGGGTCCCCGCTGGGGCAGCGCCAACCGCGGACTCCCGCGCTTCCACTTAGCCTGCGCTGCCGCCGCAGCCACCGCCAACCGCAGCCTCTGCAGCCGAGCGACAGCGCCCGAGTTGGGGTTTTTTTTGTTTTTTGGTTTTTTTTTGAGACGGAGTCTCACTCACTCTGTTGCCCAGGCTGGAGTGCAGTGGCGCGATCTCGGCTCACTGCAACCTCTGCCTCCTGGGTTCCAGCGATTCTCCTGCCTCAGCCTCCCAAGTAACTGGGATTACAGACGCCTGCCACCACACCTGGCTAATTTTTTTGTATGTTGTTTAGGAGAGACAGCGTTTCACCGTATTAGCCAGGATGGTCTCGATCTCCTGACCTCGTGATCCGCCCGCCTAGGCCTCCCAAATGCTGGGGTTACAGGCGTGAGCCACCGTGCCTGGCCAATCTGAAACCTTTTCTAGCTCCTGAGACTGTGGTTCAAGGCAGGGCTATGCTTCCCCCTCCCAGCCCTGGCCCTGTGACCCCAGCTGTGCGCCTGGCACTGTACAGAAGCCTAAGAGATGCCCACTGCCAGAGCGGGAACCAAATCCTCATCTACTGGGGACCCAGGGGGGTGCCCTCCCTGAGAGTTTGGCCTTTGGGCTCACTCCCAGGCAGAGACTCCTAGGTGCTGCTGCTTGATTACCCCTGTGACAGAGAGCTCATTACCTCTCCAGGCTTATTACCTCTCCAGAGAGCTCATTACCTCTGCACTCCATGGCCCACCCTGCCATCCCCTGACAGCCCCGCTCTGGCCAGCATGATTTTCCCAGTGTCCTCTACCCACCACAAACCCGAGCCCCCCAACAGGCTTGCTCTAAGGGGACAAGTTGTGCTGCAGATGGGGCCTTAATAAGCAGTGCTCTATGATAAAGAAGGTTGACTCATGTCTGGCAGGGCTTTCTGGAGTCTGTGGAGCTAAAGACATTAGCAGAATACAAAGCTGGGCTTGGTCACTGGCACTCCTGACTGCAGTGACACAGCAGCTCTCAGATGTGAGCCGTAGATCTCAGACCTTTCCAGAAGCTCAGAGTTCTTGCTATGTAGTGGGCCCCCACTGTTTCTACTCCTTTTCTTTTCTTTTCTTTTCCTTTCCTTTCCTTTCCTTTCCTTTATTTTCTTTTATTTTTCTTTCATTTTGAGACACAGTCTTACTCTGTTACCCAGGCTGGAGTGCAGTGGCGCTATCTCAGCTCACTGCAACCTCTGCCTCCTGGGTTCAAGCAATTCCCCTCCCTCAGCCTCCCAAGTAGCTGGGATTATGGGCACCTGCCATCATGCCCAGCTAATTTTTGTACTTTTAGTAGAGACAGTTTTCACCATGTTGGCCAGTCTGGTCTCAGACTCTTGACCTCAAGTGATCCATCCTCCTTGGCCTCCCAAAGTGCTGGGATTACAGGAGTGAGCTACTGCACTAGACCTCGTTTCTACACTTTAAACCAGCTCCACGGGAGGCTCCCTGAGGCCACCTGCTCCAATCCCAGGTAGTGACAATCGTGCAATGTCCTGGGAGCAGGAGTGAGATATCAGACACTTGTGTTCAGGACTGGGCGGGTCTCATGCCCAGCTGGATCCTTCAAGCCCAGCGCAGCCCCCCAGATTCCACATGTGGGGCAGCAGGGACTCCAGGCCTGAACTGTGCGGACCCAGGAGGGTCCATTACAGGGATATGCAGACCAAGGCCCAGAGGGGAGGGCTGGGCAGTCCCACAGATGCTTGGAGGGACCTCTGTGATAGCCCCACTTGTGTTTTCCAGGCCCGAGCTGCTCAGTGAGGGAGTCCAAGAGCCCATCGTGGAGAGTCAAGGTACCCAGCGTGGGGTCGCAGGCTGTGGTGTGGGTGGGCAAGGGAGGGCCCCAAGGGCTTCTGCCACCAGCCCCTCCTCCTGCTGCCTCTGTCCTGCTCCCATCCTGTCCCTGGCATTCTCCCCACACCCTTGCATTGGGTTTCCCCTAACGATGCCATCTTGGGTCCCAGGAACTGCCTCCTCACTTGGCTTCTCTCCCCCTGCCCTGCCCCCAGAGAGGGACTCCGGGGACCCTCTGGTGGACGAGAACCTGAAGAGACAGGGCTTTCAAGGTAAGGTTGAGCTC